GTGTGTTTGTGTTTGTTTGTGTGTGTTTGAGAGTGTGTGTGTGTGTGTTTGTGTTTGTGTGTGTGTGTTTGAGAGTGTGAGTGTTTGTGTGTGTGTGTTTGAGAGTGTGAGTGTTTGTGTTTGTGTGTGTGTGTGTGTGTGTGTGTGTGTGTGTGAGAGTGTGAGTGTGTGTGTGAGTGTTTGTGTGTGTGTGTGTGTGAGAGTGTGAGTGTGTGTGTGAGTGTTTGTGTGTGTGTGTGTGTGAGAGTGTGAGTGTGTGTGTGTGTGAGTGTGTGTGTGTGTGTTTAAAGCAGCGACACACACTCGACTTGCCCCTCTATTCACTGTTGTTTAGACGTCTGCTCATCTCAGCAGTCAATGTTCACAGCATTCATACAGCATTCAGTTTTCTGACAGAGTAAACAAGCTGCTGTTCTTGCTGTTACATGGAGAAAAGCTGGGGCCTGTTCCATAAAACAAGTTTACTAAATAAGCCAAACATATTTTATTGGACTGTCCTGCTTTTAATGCATGTAGAAAACTCTTTTATGAAGTGAACTCATTTAAAGGGTTTAGTATAATTTTGCCAGACATGGCATTAAATAAAAATATACTACTACTACTACCAAATAAGCCAGGCTTATTTCAGTTAGTCTGACTTATTTTGAACCAAATCGGCTGACAATAAGTCAGACTAACTGAAATAAACCTGGCTTATTTGGTAAATTAGTTTTAATTCATTCAATTTCAGTTTTAGTACACCAAGTTACCAAATTAAAATGATAAATGTTGCCTTCTGCTGTGCCTTTATATATACATAAATGTTACCTACATATATATATATATATATACAATTTTTGTTTCAGTTAATATTTATTTCAAGTAACAAAGTAAATGTTAAATGGTTTTATTTTTAGTTTCAGTTTTAGTTAACTATAATAACCCTGTTTTTATGTGTTCTGGTCAGAGAGGATTTTCTTTTTCCAGAAAATGCTAGTTTATATTATTGAATTGGACTAAAACTTACTGACACATGCAGGGTATAAAAATTTCCCCCAAAAACTTTTTATAATTTTTGTAGGGATTCACCGAATTTTAGAATTATTAATCTTTGTTAATGAGAATACATTTATTCGTTAGTTCATGTTAATTCAGAGTGCATTAACTGTTAACAAGCACAACTGTTGATTTTAATAATGCATTAGTAAATGTTGAAATTAACATTAAGATTAATAAATGCTGAATAACTATTGTTCATTCTTAGTTCATGTTAGCTAAAGTAGTTAACTGATGAACCTTATTGTAAAGTGTTACTAATATTAATATAAATTCTGTCCAGTTTTATTGTTACTTTCAGTAAAAGTGTGGTTATTTTATTGGCTTGTGTTTTTTAAATTCAGTATCATTAAAATTATTGAGTTAAATTAAAAAGTCTTACAAAATTACTTTATATTATTTAATAAAATAATAAATAGTCATTACAAAGCAGTTTCGGTTTTCAGCCCAGAATTTTCATTTCGGTGCATCCCTAAATTTTTTTACTTTTTGGGGGATTTTTTTAAAGTGAATCAGCTGATTCAAACGATTCATTGAATCAGTGAGTTGAACTCAAGAACTGAATCAGTCTGGTTTATTAGTGAATCATTTAAGCAGATTTTTTGAAGTGAATCATCTGATTCAAAAGATTAATTGAATCCGTGAGTTGAACTGAAGAACTGAATCAGTCTGGTTTATGAGTGAATCATTTAAGCAGATTTTTTTAAGTGAATCAGCTGATTCAAAAGATTAATTGAATCAGGGAGTTGAACTCAAGAACTGAATCAGTTTGGTTTATGAGTGAATCATTTAAGCAGATTTTTTGAAGTGAATCAGCTGATTCAAAAGATTAATTGAATCAGTGAGTTGAACTCAAGAACTGAATCAGTCTGGTTTATGAGTGAATCATTTAAGCAGATTCTTTGAAGTGAATCAGCTGATTCAAAAGATTAATTGAATCAGTGAGTTGAACTCAAGAACTGGATCAATCCTATTTGTGAGTGAATCGTTTAAACAGGTTTTGTGAAGCTAATCAACTGATTCAAAATGATCTTGTCGATTTGTTCATCAATCAAACATCACTATTTCTCTCATCAGTCTGTTTCGCATGTAAAGCATCATATGAGTCATTTGGACTGCTGTTATGATTCTTTATGCTGCTTGTTTGTCATTTTTGGAGTTTCAGTCTGTGTTTGTAGTAACTGAATGACGAGCACATTCTTTAAAATTTCTCCTTTTCACAGAAGAGAGAAAATCAAACAGGTTTTGAATGACATGAATCTGATTAGATGATGACAGAATGATGATTTTGTGAGTGAGCTGTGCCTTTAATCTGGCTCTCCTGTGTTTATTGCGTCTCTAGTTCTGAAGGTGTTGTTGACTCTAAAGTTTTATTTGAATGGTGCGTCTGAAGGATGAAACCGCAGAGAGTCACAGCGTTTCTATTGTTTGAGGTTTGAATGGGAGGAAAGCGTGTGACAGAAACACCGCTGACGCCGGGGCCGTTTCCCTGAAGGATGCTGGGAGATTCTTTGGGAGAAATCTGTTAGATCAGCTTCTGGGAAGATGTTAGTCAGTGTTTCTGCACATTGTCTGGTGGTTTGACTTGATTTTACTGATGCATCAAATCTGCCGAATGAAATCCAGTACTCTTTTCAAACTCATTTTAAGCACCGATTCCAAAATAGCATCTATTTTGCTCTTTCACGTCACAGTTTCTCACTAAATATGATGCATTTTGTTGCATTTTTGCTTTTGAGAATCGTTTGTGCAGTGAAGGCGCAGCAGAAAAACACCACAAACACATGATTCCTGTCTGAATCTGAGCCAGATTACAAATATCTGTTCAATTCTCAGCCCATTTTCACATGTGTGATGTTATTTTACATCATCCAAACAGTAAGAGAAAATCACAGATTTTGTGAAAAAAAGCTTCTTTTGCATATTTTGAGAAGTTCTTTGACATTAAATTAAGTATTTGAACATACTTTCCCACTCCTTTGCAGATTGTAAGTTAAATGATACATTTTAAATTAAATCTAATACTCATTTTGGCCACTGTTTCCAAAAATAGTGTCTGTTTTGCTCTTTCATGTCACACTCTCACTAAATATTTTTGTAATTTGTGTTCTCCCTTCAGAGCCATCAGAAAACCCCCACAAACCCTGATCTGTTCTGAAACTTGATCTTAGGCTGCTTTTGTTATTGTGGTGAGTGCATTAAAGCTGATATGTGTATATAAACTGAAAAATCTTCATATTTCGTATTTTGTATATTTCGATTTCAACAACTTAATTTATTCAAATGTATTCTTACAATAGCCTTATAAAATGTTTTTATTTTCCTCAGAAATTCTGTTGTGTATTTAAATTTCACTGGATATCAAATGTTTTATCAAAAGTTTTAATAATTTTATTATTAGTACTACTAGTAGTAGTAGTAGTAGTAGTAGTATGTACATTCAAACAATGTATTTCTGGCTCAATGTCTTCAAGTTACCTTTACAATTCTGTGTATGTAAGATATGACGCTAGTTTTACTCAAATGACATGCTCATTAAGTGACTCTCAGAGCAGTTCTGGAGATGATGTTCATGTATTTATGTCCCCTAGAGAGTATTTGTGTAGTAAACAAAACCGCGCGTCTTGATTCATTCACACAGAGACACGCAGAACATGCAGGATTCATGTCTTTTTGTGGCTTAATATTTACAGATACTAGTCCATATGGCAATTTGATTTAAGTGTAATGACCTACTTTTGATTAATTCATTCAAAATTTGACAAATTCCGTGACATTCCACGTTATTCAGTAAATTCTGTTTTTATGACTGGATTCCGCGTTTTCCGCATCGCAGAAATCATAGGGCCCTATTCATAGTACAAATATACGATGACCCAAAACACACAGCAAAAGCAACCCAGGAGTTTTAGAAGGTAAAACAGTGGATTATTCTGCAATGGCTGAGTCAATCTCCTGATCTCGACCCGATTGAGCAGCATTTCACTCGCTGAAGACAAAACTAAAGCAGAAAGAGACACAAACACACAACAACTGAAGTCAGCTGCAGTAAAGGCCTGGCAAAACATCACAAAAGAGAAACCCAGTCTCTGCTGATGTCCATGAGTTACAGACGCAAGGCAGTCAAAGGATTCTCAACAAAATATTAAACATGAACATTTTATTTATGATTATATTTAGTGGTCGACCGATATATCGCCAAGGCCGATATATCGGCCGATATTCGGCATTTTTCAAATATCGGCATCGGCCGATAAGTTTTTCCTGTTTGGCCGATGCTTTCGAGGCGAGACTTTTATTTTGACGGCGCTGAGAATGGCAGCGTCTTCTCCCTCTTGTTTGCTGTCGTCGTTAATAGTTCTGTCTAATACGTATAGAAGTCTGTCTAATAATCAGATAGAACGGTTAAACAGAGGAATAAAAATTTATACAAAAAAGTATTATAACGATTATATTATATAACGATTTTATAATTTTCAAATGATTTCAAATTTCTTAAATATTAATTAAAATAAATAAAATTATATCGGCTTTATATCGGCCACCCTGCTTTCCAAGATATCGGCATCGGCTGTCAAAAAACCAATATTGGTCGACCCCTAATTATATTTATTTGTCCAATTACATTCGAGCCTCTGAAAATGGGGGAACTGTGTATAAAAATGGTTGTAATTCCTAAGCATTTTATGTTATATTTTTGTTCAACCCCTTGAATAAAGCTTAAAGTCTGCACTTCAATTTCATCTTGATTGATTCATTTTAATTCTATTCTGGTGGCATACAGAGCCAAAATTATGA